CGAACACTTGGAAGAGAATGGAACAAGAGCATGACATTCCGCAAAGATTTGACGAGAGATCAGGTTTGAAGGAAATACAGTTTCTTAAGGTATATCCTTCAAGATATTTGACTGATGATAAGAATTACAAGTTGCGCAGTTGTTTGCTACATGCTAGTAAACAACGGCATTAATAAGATCGATCGAATTAACCCGGAAATCGAAGCAAACATAGAATATGCTTTTTCTTATTTATTTCCCCCAAATCGAAAATGTGAATTTGTGCATTGTCCGTTCAAACATGTTTCAGACCTTCACAATGATATCGAACTTCCTTACTTCGTAAATAGTGTAAGGAGAGACACTAGAGCCAAACGCTTTTTGAAACATGCTGGGTTACATAAAGAGCTAGTTCCGAGGGACGATGAGGACGACCAGCAGGCTTTGGCTCTGGGTGCATCTCGCCTCATTCTCAATGAAATCCATATCTTTATACCATTCTGCTCAAAAACCATAGCCAAGTAATCACCTGATAACTGCCTTACTATCACAAGTTCAATCCTAACAAATAATTCTGCATTATGTCCTCTATCACTTACAACAAATGTATATAATTCTGCATCTATTCCAAATCCTCTCAATTTCCATTATGAAAACACACTTTAATGTGTCGGACATACCATCTGTTTTTAGAAGAGATGTTGTAGTGCGAATTTCACACTACCTACACGCTGTGAAAATTGGGCAAATTTATTTCAATTCCTATCTCCCTTAAATACCAGCCTACTGCATCAAGCACACCATAGAAAATTTTGTATGGAAAAAACTCCGCGCCTACATGTTCAGTAGCCACATTTCTTATGTGCCACAGCCGCATACGGCATTACTCCTGTCTTTCCCATATTTCAATAACAGAAGTCTTTTCTTTTTTGTAATTTCTCAAAGCAACCTTTAAACTCCAAAGAAAAAATACTACGCGTGCAACACGAAAAACTTTCATGGTTGAAAGACTGAACCTTCCAGAGGCATTCACATGGTCCATCAACACTATCATCTATCAGCGAAAACTTGTCAGAATGCTAGATAAGAAAATTCCCTTCACTTATTGAGCACTGATTTGAATGCTATTGACGACTTATAATAAAAAGTTTATTCGTGGCAGCAACACAGTATTCTTTTAAATGATGGGTAGGGTTGGGGTTATTGTGTATGGGTTTTGTGGACGGATCCCGGACCGACTAACCCTTCGGCTAACATGGTGGTTTAAGACAACAACATCACAAATCACATCAACGAGGAGATGTAAAAGCAGGCTTCCAAGGAAACGAGGGCATCCTCGCACCCCGAGATGAGTGACGAATTGCAGAAACAAACCACCAACTGTGGCTGGCTGACAGAAAACGAAAAGCTTATCAATATCGCAAACTAGCAGATGTGTATATAAAAATAAGCAACTACGAAGTAAGTGTCAAATAACATGCAATAAAAACACTACGCATCCAAAATTCAAGGTGAAGTAGACTACCATTACAGAAGTCAAGATGCACCAGAAGGTGGGTGCGACGTTGAAGATTAAAGTGTTACAAATTCAAAACATGAAACGGAAGCGCCGATACAAGGATGGCGAAGCATCAAACGAGAGGACGAGTGGTAATATAGCAAATGGAATTGGATGAAACTGACAGTTCCAAGCAACAGGATTTGGGAAGAGTGGGAGAGTAAACGCGGTTGATGTCGGAAGGAAGTCGAGAGACGCACCACCAGAGGTCGAGCGCAACCAACAGTCAGCGCACATTGCTGGAGACGCGGCTTGGATTCGCGGGATACGGAGACGATCATGATGGTTATTTGTTCGAGTAATTGGAGACTGCGCGCACGAACGAATAAATATCCCAGCAGGCGGGTCAACCATGTCTGCATCCTTAAGCATTGCTACGGTGGCGGCAAAAATTTCATAAGATGTTGCTACCGTAGCAAAGCGTAACAAGAACAACCTATGAACAAATGCACGGGCACAGCGAAGTTGACCGCGCCTGCGGGTGGGCGACGCGTTAGAGTGGGAAAAAATGAAAACTTAAGTCAACAGTAAGATACAACAGAAAACTCTAACGCGCCGTTATATTAAACATCTTACTTACATGCGGAGAAAGCATCGCCCCACGCCATACACACGTACGATACAAGAATAGAAAACGAAAGGAAAACGATGAGCGTGGGGTGAAATGCCTTCGAGCCGTGTGTAATACCGCGTAGAGAGAGACGAGTACGCTCTTCACCCAGAAAGAGACGACGGAAGTTGTTGATTTAGCAACTGAATTTCCGTCATTCGGCACCGTTCACATGAGACGGCGGCGATTGTTTGCGAGATGTTTCTAAAAGGCATCATATCAGTGATAAAAGAGCAATGAGTTCAACAAAAGAATAATGAATTTTCGTCCCATCCCAGATAATAACAACTCTTAATAAAACTTGGAGTCCCGAAAACCATGGCAGAAACTTTTCAAATAACCTTATAAATCACAAATCATTTTGAAACGCGTCTTCGGCTTTATCTGAATGCTGTATTGTTTCAGATCAGAAAAGAACATTTTCTTTCGAACCACGCCAGAAAACAGTAAAATGAGCTCCGATTATTATTATGTGTTCGTCCCTTCCAATGCTTACTTAAGCTATACATCGGCGACAAATGTACAGCGGCGGTGAGGCGATTGGAGGCGAGATAACTTTGAACGAAAATCGGCTTCAATACTTCTAAAGCAAGTGGTGTCAAATGCCAAGAAAGTGGCACTGAAGGATCTGGCGAGTTAATTAGGAGAAGAATCGTATGGCTGATCTAAGTCCACCTCTATGTGGTTGTCTGCAAATTTGCACACGATCATGAACAGATTTTCGATTCTGTAGAACTTAAATGAACTGGGTTTGAACAGTCTGCCTTTCCACTTACACTGATTAGCAACCGAGACCTTTATTCGGACATTCCTTTCCGAGGAGTGATTCATAGACAAAAAAAAAACAAAAAAAAAAGAAATTTATGCTGAGACAAGGTTGAATTCCCTTCTGAATTCTGGAATACTAAGCTATCGGCACATAC